CTGGGGCCTGGAAATGTGCTTCTCGGACTGTGGGGAGAGGCGTGGATGTTGGGTTCCTTACCTGGGCCCTCATTTGCACGACAGGACATGTGCTCTGAAACATTTTCAGTAGGAAATTACATAAAATGCTCATGGAATTTTATTGTGGATAAACACGTGTTATTATTACCAGGGTTATTTATGGAAGTTGAACACTATATTTATTGCATAAAGCATGAAATTGTGAAGCATGTGTATGTCATGTTTTTGCTACATTTAGCTCATTACACATGCATCACCCTCACCACAATCTTGCGCTGATAGCGTTTACCACCCACTCTCTCGGGATTTTTCAAGAATCACAAATTGAGTCCCTGACTTTTCCTTCCCTCTGCTGTACTGTGCTGTCCCTTTGTCCACCATCCCCCAACGCCATCCCCTCACCACTGCCCACTTCTGGACCGCACCACTCCACGCTCTGCTTCAATCAGATCAGCCTTTTCAGATTCCGAAATCGAGTGACCCCATGCAGAGTTTTCTCTCTCCTCTCCATTGTAGGGATGACTGATGTTGAAAAGGCGAAGATAACAAACTGGCAGGGGTGTGGGGAGGGAACTCAGGCACAGTGTTGGTGGGGTGGGCACCAGTGCAAGCACTGTGGAAACAGCACAAGCTGAAGTGTAGCAGTCTGCCCTGGGATCAGTCCCTCCCACTGCGGAGAACGTAACAGAGGACGTGAGGCAGGGTGGGGAGGAACTGTCTGCGCTCCACTGCAGAATTATTGGAAACAGGATGGGGATCTGACCCAAGAGTCCATCACCGGCAGAGTAGGTGTGGATGTGGTTTGGGAACGATACCGCAGGGATCAGCAGAAGGGGAATACCAGCACCGCACAGTTGGTAACCTCATGCCAGACTAGTCAGACATGGAAAGACAAAATTTGTTTTAAAAGAGCTTCCTCTGTTGAAAAACACCACTGGACAAATTTGGTTTTAGTTCAGTAAAGATCTTTTCGGAATAATAAACTATTCTTCATAAAATTCAGGAGTGAATGAAGGCCTTCACTTGCTTTCCTTCTCCACTGTGTCAGACTGTTATCAGTGGGACAGTTCAGCCTCCAGAGGTGTGCACCTGTTCACTCCCATGACAGCCTTTTATGGTGATGCTCAGAAATCTCAGTCCTCATCTAAGTGTCCATAGGAACCCTCTGAACTCCCGCGTCCCAAACAGGTCCACCTCGGAAGGGTCACTATGTGGCCCCTTGATTTTTTCCCCACTGCACCATACTCCCTGCTATTTGCTTCCACCTCTGCCTGGCCCCTTGCACAGCAGGCTTCTCTCCCTGCCTCCCTTGTGTCCTGTGCCCCCTGCACCAAAGTGGGCTCCTGTGTGAATCCTCCCAGGCCTTCCCTCTCTGTCTCCAGGAGTTACTGTGAATTCTGCCTATGAATGTTTTGGGAGTTTGACCTGAGTTTGTTTTCCTGACTTCCCAGCACCTTTAACAACTATTTAATAAGTGCATAAATTAATATCACTCCTAAAAATAATTCTTTCACTAGTCATACAAGCTTTGTTCTATTTTTATCCCAAAGTTTTATCCAACACTCCAAAGTTGTTCAACATTTAGCTGTTCTCAAGTTGTTTGCCTTCACCATCACTTAGAGCACAGATTGACAAGTTTTCCATCCTGCACTGACCTGTTTTTCCTCACATCCAGTGCAATGCTTCACGTGTATGAGAGGAGTAGTGTTTGCTGGTGTGTTTTATTTCTCCCCTTGTTGGGTCCCTTGCTCTTATTTTACAAGTGAGTATAAAAATGTATTCTGTTTTTCTGCCTTCATCTTTTCTTAGACATGAAAATGTATATGTTGATAGTGTATTTGGGAATAATAATTATGTTTTTAGAGATTATTTCCGCAATAATTTCATTGTGGTTGTCTGGAAGTTAGCCCTGTTATGTAGAAGAGCCCAGGCTCTTCAGGTAAGTGAAAGAACCTGTGCTGTTTCCCTGTGAGACTCACTGGAGGTGGAGGTTAGCAAGCTGCTCAAGAGCAACCCGGACTCCACTCACTCACCTGTGGTGAAGAAGAAAGAGACACAGGAGTGAGAGTCCAGTGGAGGAAAGTTGGGCTGGCTCCAGTGAGGCAGGTTCTCGTCAGAGGCTGGGTCTCATGGAGAGCGAGATGGGAGTGATCAGAACCCAGGAAGGAGAGAGAGTGATGAGTAGGGGGCTCCTGAGGGTGCCTGGCTCGGCTCCTCTGAGACTTGAGCTAGTGCAGGGAGACCATTAACTCACCGCCTCCTGTGTGGAGATGAACACTACAGGGAATTCCTCTCTTCTGATAGGTGTGTCTGTGAAGTCATCTTGCCTGTGTGAGATGAAGACAAGACCCTAAAAGAATACACTTCCCAATATGGGTGGATGTACATGGCCTTTTAGCCATATGGTGCACATTCCGTGGCTCTCTATGAAAGAATGTGCATAGGGCAGAATGCGTCTCCCAGGGGAATTTTTATCTAACAGTTTCACATTTATTTACATCTGAAACAGCACACTTTATGTGAAAACACAACACTGCTGTAGAAGACAGAGAAGCTCTTTCTCTGGTTATGTATTTATTTTCCCTAGAGGAGACAAGTTTATGGGATCTTTTGGAATACTGCAGGTGTCAGTGCCATTTTCTGGAAGTGCGCTTCCTTCACTACGTGAGCCTGTTATCAACAACTCCTGTCAGTCTCACCTCATAAATGTGGCTCCTTGTGTCCTGAACAAGGAATGAGGCAGAACACACAGCCGTGGTGAGCACTCAGGAATTTGTTAAAGGAAGGCACAGTGCTGAGGTGGGGAGTGGGCTGATGAGAAAACTCAAGAGTGGGTTTGACTGGAGCAGCCCTGTCCGCCATGGGTTTTGAGGCTGTCACGGGGAGCTGTCCTAGTCTTCTGCTGTAACAGGAGACTCTCTCCTACTGAGTGACTGCTGTGTCTCATATTGGGAAGGGGCATGTTTTACTTTATATGAGCCTCATCGGAGCCACTGTAGGAGACAAAGCTCATGAGAAGGAGTGCGTCAAATCTCCAGTGTTCCTGATATAATCACAGTGGGGCTCACCTTGGTGTGTTCTAATACAGATAGAGCATGTGCTTTTGTGGCTCATAGCAGAGGTCAACAGACCTGATTAGGGGAGGAGTGGACTTTTCAGGCTCATGTTATGAGGTCAAGGAAACATTGTGAAAGCAGTATTCTCTTGTGATTTCCCAGAGCCAGAAGGCATAGTTGCAAGCCTATGCTGGGAAGTCACCCACAATATCTAGCTCCTCACTCAAAACCACTACTTTGGTTTCACTGTTGCTATTGTTACCCCTCAGAGAACTTCAGAAGAGATATAAGTACCTGGCCTTTCTTAACATCTTGCTGATCAAGTTTTCTATACTGTGGGGACTGGTGAAGTTCTTCTGCAAGACCAGTAAATTATCAAGCATGAGAGTTGTCACAAAATGTTTATACTTGAGGATCACTACAGCTGTAGAATATTTCGCCTGACTTCCTCCTGTGTCTCATCTGATACAATGAAAGTTAATGCACGTGTGACCCACTGAAGAGGTCATTCTGTCCCTGTGGCTACAAGTCCCTATCACACATCCTGCATCCTCTGAAACAGAGCCAGGTGGTTAGATGTGGAGAAGCACAGCTCTCAACTTTTCACGAAGCGGGCCTTGGTTCCCTTGGAGCATCAGCTGACACAACCCTGACTACTGTGGGAAAGAAGGAGTGGGAACAACAGCAGAGGCCCCAAGAGAATTGCTGAAGGAGAGACAAGGAGCAAGGAGAGCTGTGGATGAATGGTGTCAAATCCTTGCAACAATAAGTAATTTACACCTAGTGCTTTAATAGTTGCTGGATTTGTCAGTTGTCTCTGTGGATCTGTTTGGTTTAGAGTATTTCAACTTTTTATTGTACCCAAAGTCCACTGTATTCTTAGATATTGAAGTTCTATGAAAGCAATATTGTTGTGCTTCAGAAAGGAATGTAGTACAAATGCAATTCAATTTTCATCATATTGTGGATTACATATGGTTCTCAAACATTATTTTGTTTAAACTTTAAAATTAACATGGTACAAAATTCTTAGCACCATATATTAAAATTATATAGGAAAAACTTGTTATTTCTTTACATTAAAGTGTTTTACTGAAAAGTTATAATGATTATGCTTTTGGTGACTTCAATAAGTAAGAGCGGGATGGTTTGTTATAGCTCACAGTTTATAGAGGTTTCTGTCCACAAGCAGCAGGCTCCAGGACAGAGCTGGGTGGTGGCACCGTGAGGAGAAACAGTCCATGTGGGAGCCCGCTGGCATTTGACATTGGAAAAGTAACTTCTACCATTGAGGCATTGACACAATCTATGACTCTATTTGGCTTTTCTGAGATGAGGGTCTCAGCTATGCAGATGAGATTGACCTGGAGCTCTCTGTGTAATCCAGGCTAAGCTCACTGTGTAATCCAGGCTGGGTTTATGGGATTACGGGTGTCGACCTGAAGCTCACTGTAATCCAGACTAGTTTTATGGGATTATGGGCGTGCACCACCACGCCCGGCAAACAATACCACTGGACTCGTCAGGTTGAGTGGGGCCTTCGCCTTTACATCAGCGGCCGTGATCCGGGTCTCACCTTTTCCATCAGGCTTTTGAAAGAACCACCTCAGTTCTTTCAAAGAAAGAACCACCCATTGCCATTGGCCCCAACCCCCTTCTTTAAGAATGTTGCTTTTTTAAAGATAAACTGGGCCTGGTGGATGATAGCATTAGAAGGGTTGAGGAAAGCCTCGAACCAAGGCAGAAGCAACGGGAAAAGGACGAATCTTGGTATCAAAATTGGTTTTCCCCTTGCCCCGCTTGCCCCTGGAGATTGTTAAATTAAAGATTGCATAGGGTTAATTGTTGATGTACGCCTTCCCACTTACCCCTCCCCACATTTGGTAAAATACTGATTGCTGTATGCTGATAAATGCTTTGTCCCTTTATGGTTAAATGCTTGAGTGACTCATGTGATTGGTAGAAGATTTGTTTGAACTGTCCAATAAGCTTGCTGAACCTTCCCCCTGGGATAACAGTATATAATCGTTTTGCTGAGCCAATAAAGAGCCTTTGATCAGAAATCAGACTTGGGCCATGTGCTCTAACTTCTTAAAGATTTTCCTTCACAGACATTCAAGATTTGATCGGCCTCTGATGACCCACGAATAAGAGGCGGCTCTCACCTCCTATTCCCCACTGGACGGGGTCCCCCCAGAGAGCCGCAAGTCCATAGCAGGGTAGGCACAGAAAAGGAAGCAGCAGCAGCCAGTCTTCTCTTTGCTTTTGTCCCATCCAGGATAAAAGCCTATTGTTTACTGCCATCCACTGCTAGGACAGGACTTACCATTACCCACATCCAGAACTATGTAAATCAGTGCAGTAATTTAGTTATCACATACCCCTAATCCATATTCACACACCCTAGATCCAGCTACCTCTCAAAGTCCCTCATATGAATGCATGATATTTAAAGGGGACGTCTGGATATAAGCCCTGCTATCTTGAATTTTAACACATTTGTACCTTGTGTGTTGGTCAACTGAGTTTGTTAGGTTTTTGGTCAAAGTGAATAGTTATCCTTGGCTTTTGATAAGGACTTCTGAATCTTTTCTCAGTATTTTGAATTTTATGATATGATATTGTTAAGCACATAGTTGATTTAAAAAATACAGAGAGTTTTTCAGATGAAAAGTGTGTTCTGTTTTTGTAATTGCTTTGAAAATGAAGACTAGAGTTGCTTGTGTATTATATGGGGGAATTTTGTGAAATTCAATTTATCTAAACTCCAGATCCATATTTTATAAAAATGTATTAAAGCAAAGATGAGCTATAGATATTACTCTTCAGTGATCTTCATCTTCTCAGAAAGCAACCTTAGGTGAAAAGTCTTAATTTAAAGAGTTGATTGTATTCCAGTAGAAGTGAGAAAAGTTAGAGCTTGTCTTTCTGTGTTTTGTTCATTTTACTTACTGTAAGTTTTTTTCTGACTTGAACTATGTTACACAATTCAAATAATTGTTTTTCTTTAGCTTACATATTATTCTTTTGTGCCCAGAGTGTATGATTTTCCCCATTTATCCACAGATGGATGCAGAGCTTTGTTCCACATCTTGGCAAATGAATGGCATGGTAATGGCCACCATGGATGCAGGTATTTCTTCTATAGACGAGTGGCCCATGCTGCCCACAATTTCTATGGAGAATAAGACATTTAGGAAGAATGAAGGCAAGAGAGCAATTTCAGATTTCAGAATACAGAATTTTCCATGTAATAAATTATATCCATTAATCAGAATATCTGATATTTACACAATGCAGCTCTTTCTTTCCAGTTATGGATCCTCATTTGGAAATGCAAGCATACCGACAGTAATGGATGTGCCTGTGGATATCCAGGAGACGAGCAGAGATCATTTGGCTTCTAACGGATCCACCCAAACCCGAGACTGTAGAATCTGCATCCATGCTCTCTTCACATCCTTATTTCTCAGGGTGTAGATGAGTGGGTTGAGCACTGGGGTGATCACACAGTAGAAAAAGGACATGAACTTGGCCTGGGAACTCTTGGCTGGAGGCTGGAGGTACAGATAGATGCCTGGTCCAAAGTACATGGTGACCACCAGCAAGTGGGAACTGCAGATGCTGAGTGCTTTGTGCCTTCCTTCAGCTGAAGGCAACTTCAGTATAGCTCTAGCAATGAAGGTATAGGAGATGATCACCAGCAGTGGAGCCAGCATTGCAAAAGGAATTTCTCCTATTAGCAGGGCTAGGTCATTAGTAGAGGTGTTGCCACAGGCCAGCTTAATGAGCGCAGGCACCTCACAGAAGAAGTGGTCCAGGGTGTGGCGTCCACAGAGGGGGAGCTGGAGTGTGAGTGTGGCTTGGAGCAGAGAATTGACCAAACCACTGGACCAGGAGGCAGCTGCCATCTGCACACAAACCCAGGGATGCATGATGAGAGTGTACTGGAGGGGCCGGCAGATGGCCACATAGCGATCAATGGCCATCACAGCCAACAGAGCACACTCGGTGCAGCCTATCCAGTGAAAGAGATAGGACTGCGAGATGCAACCCCAGGCTGCAATGGTCTTGTCTGGTCCCCAGAGGTTGGCTAGCAGCTGTGGAACAATTGTGCATGTGATACAGAGGTCCAGCAGAGAGAGGTTGTCTAGAAAGAAGTACATGGATGTCTGGAGTCTGCGGTCCACCAGAGAAAGTAGGATGATGGAGTTGTTTCCAAATAGGGTGAGCAGGTAGGAGACCAGGACCACTGCAAAGAGGGGCCTCTCCAGCCACGGAAACTCTGAGAAGCCCAGGAGGACAAAAGTGTTGGGATAACTCACATTTTCCCTTCCCATGGCATCTGCCTTTTATATACCTACAAGGGAACAGAAAGATCTTGAGGATATACCTGACATTCCCTTCAGCAGCTTCATCGCTGCATCCCCAGGCCTTCCCCCGTGTTGGAGTGATAATCTCATAAATTTGGGGGGACTATTTTATGTGTACATTACACTGCCCTATCCCTTGACCTGGAAGAGAGGATAAAGCCGTTATGATGAGTTCTACACAGAGATGAATTTACTGAATTTAGTAATATGATTATAAGAATACATCTCCCTATCCCTTTTTCTTCTTTTTCTACAACTCTCCCGTTTTCATTTTCCCTTCCATTCTGTCTTCCAATCAATTCATCAATTCTACTACTCTGTATTCATGCAGAGGAAACCATGTGGTTTTGTGCCTTTAAAACATTGCTTTCAGAAATGTTGTTAAAGGAAGATCCTCAGTATCCTCTATTCCAGGGGAGTGAGGTACACTGAGGGTAAGATTTTCAGGTGTAGGTGAGAGAGCTCATGCCAGTTGTGTATGCTGTGCTATGACTTGTATCTAGATGTGTCCCCAAAGCCTCCTGGAGTCATAGGTGGGACTTTTTCACAGGTGGCTGTTTCTAGAGTGTGTGATTGTAGCACAATCTTTGCCCGGTATTAGTAGATTCTGGTCAATTGCAACCAAGTCTCAGCACATCTCAGTCTCTCCTAGCACAATAAGCAGTGCCTTCCCCCTTAACATCACCTTTGCTTATCAGCTAGCCCTGCCTTCATATCAGCTGTCTCCAGATCCTTCCAGTCAGACACTTTACACTGGGTCACTAGATGTCTTCAGAGCACACACTGCTCACTTTCCCATGCTTCCCAATAATCAATACTGGGTTCCCTGGGAACCTTTAGTCATTGCTGCCCAGAAACCAAATTCTCTCTCAGTCCCATTTCTGTCTTTAGTCTCTTCAGTTTATATTGTACAGGCTCATGGGAGACTCTGGACTTATGGTAATGTCCCCACTCCTGCTCCATATAACTGGCACTCAAGGTGGATATGATTTGAATCCATGGGTGATATAGCCTGTGAGACAGATTTGGAGTAAAAGGGTCAACACGTAGCTCTTGCAGGAAGACTTCCAGTCCAGCAGAACACCTGCTGGAAATTCTGTAGTTAAGCTGCTAAATATCATAGCCGGATAAATCCCTGTCTTTAGCAAGGCAGAAACCCTTGACCTGGACTCATGGGAGCATGTGGGAATTGGTCTTTGTGATACCCAGCAGAGGGATGACTGACTCTCTCATCCAAATTTAATATCCTGGAGTTTAGGCCCTTGGACAGAAAATTCCAGTCAACTCAGGGCACCACAGCTGTGCCAGCTGCTGAGTTCCCTGTTGTGCCCAAGTCACGAAGTCGCCAAGAAAAACCACCAAGGAGTCTCTTCCAATGCAGTCACATGAGTAGTTTATTATAAGCTCGAGCCTGGACCTCCAGTGTCACCGACACAGCGGACACAAACTGGAAGCCCCGACCCACTCATTCAGCCTATCTTTATAGGGCTCAGGTGACTTGAAATTCTTTCTTATTGGCTTCTTTTCTAATACGTTAAATCTATTGGATGTTGCTGGGGTACTTGTGAAAGTGGGAAGAGACCTATCTCAGGCTGGGGAGGAGGCCAGTTTAGGAGGAGGTCAATGCACTCAGGAATGTGGTGAGCTTCTCTTATCTACACAGAACCTCCTGTTCTTCTTCTTCGAGGTTGGAGTGGCTTTTCTCCCACCTGCCTGACTCTGCCCTTATCGTAACCAAGAAAACTAAGCAAACTAAGCAAATTGTACTGCCTGAATTCATCCGGGGGTCAGTTCTGGCACTTTATGGTTTTTCAGCTTAAAAATGGAGTCAGTTAAGCTAAGTGGGGAGGGTTTTGGGACTAAATTTCTAAGGTCCTACATCCACTTGTCAGGCATCCATGCCCTCAGCTGAGGTGGCACCTGAATCATCTCCAGTCACTTCAGCAGCTGCTATGCCTGTGGTTCTGCCTGTTCTACCCACTCTGCCCATGCATCAGGCCTGCAGATCCAAGCAAATTTTAGTCATTTTAAATCAGCCCTGGAACTAATGTTCCTCTGGATACAATCACGCAACCAACTCTGGTCCCTGACGGACTATCTGTGCCCACCATGGCTTCTGTTGTCCCTGTGGCATCCTTGCCCATAGCTGCCCTTCTGAACCTGCCTCACCAGCTCTCAAGCTGCCTGTATCTGCAGCTGTAGTTGCAATTGCTGTTACCAGCTTTCAGTTGACTCTTGCTCTTGAGCAGCATTTGTTTTCATCCTTAGAACAAATGCTCACCACAAATAAAACTAAGGTTGACATTTCCCCTTCCCACCCTATCTATCCCTTCCTCCTCTTGCCCTTTTGGTGCCACTTCTCCCTCCGTTTTTGGGGGCTTCTTCCACCATTTCCTCTCAAGCCACTGCAGCTTCTGCACCCACTGGCTACTTTAGCTCCTCTCAAACAGAAGAGTGACTGAACACCCCCATCTCCTCAACTGGCAACCTGTGTTTTCTCTCACCCTCTATTGCCACAGTGTACAAAAGGCTATGATGATAGAGGAGATCTTAAAACATCCTTGTGTTCTCCCATGGGACAAAGATAACAAATCTTGCAGGAAAATCAAAAGTAAAAACTGGGATGGCTGCTCTAGTTGCTCAGCTCCCCTCAGAAGAGTGGGGAGTGAGACTCTTGAAGAGGGAAGTAAAGCTCTCCTGGTCTGTGACTCTAGAGCTCCTGGAGGGTAGTGAAATGAATCCCTGTCATTAACATATCAACCATTTGTTTGGCAAGCTACACTAACAAGAAATTATATTGGCCTTATTGTTTTCTAGATACGTATTGGACAATAAAGTATATGGTATTAATACATTAAAATAAAATATAATGTTTAAAATCAGAGAGCAAAGACCAAATGCTGTGTTATAGCCCAGTGTCTCCTGCGGGTTGCTTGCTCCATATGAAAAATAAAGTGTTCTACAAAAAGTCAGGGAATTGAAGAAAGGAAAGTAAAAGCTCAGATCCCTGCAATTAGGATCGAACAAGGTGAAGTCACAACAGATCTAGCAGAAATCCAGAGGATCATCAGAACCTAGGTGGAGAACCTGTACTCTCATAAAATGGAGAAAACAGAAGAAATGGACAGATTTCTTGATACTTATGAGTTACCAAAGTTGAACAAAGAAGATAAAAATTTCTAAATACCCCAATTACAATCAGTGAAATTGAAAATGTAATTAAAAGTTTACCAACGTAGAAAAGCCCAGGTCCTGATGGATTCACTGCTGAATTCTACAAGACATTTAGAGAAGAACTACTGCCACAACTCTTTAAATTTTTCAACGAAATTAAACTGGAAGCAATACTTCAAAATTCATTCCTGGAAGCAAGTGTTATTTTGATTTCCAAACCAAGGAAATACCCAACCATAAAAGAGAACGCAGGCCAATCTCCTTAATGAACGTAGATGCAAATATCCTCAATAAGATACTGGCAAAAAGAATACAGAGGGTTATCAAGAAGATCATACACACTGACCATAACAGATTTATTCCAGGGATGCAAGGATAGTTCAACATACATAAATCATTAAATGTACATTAACAGAGTCAAGGACAAAAACACTTATGATTGTCTCAATAGATGTAGAAAAAGCATTTGACACAATTCAGCACCCATTCATAATAAAAAAACCTTGCAGAAAATTGGAATAGATGGTCTTTATCTCTACTTGATAAAGTCTATCTATGAAAAACCAACAGCCAACATCATATTAAATCGCCCCAAACAGAAAATCTTCACATTGAAATCAGGAACAAGACAAGGATGTCCACTATCACCATTCTTGTTCACTATGTAGTCCTGGAAAGATTAGCCAGAGCAATTTGACAAGAGAAGGAACTTAAAGATAAGAAGGGAAGAAGTTAAACTGCCATTATTTGCTAGTGATTTGATACTCTACATAGAAGACCTAAAAAAACTCTGCCAAAAGACTTCTAGACTTGACACTTTCAGCAGAGTAGCTGGATACCAGGTCAATGCTCAAAAATTAATAGCCTTCTTGTACACACATAACAGACTCACTGAGAGAGAAATTAAGGAAACAATTCCTTTCAAAATAGCAACTGAAAACATAAAGTATCTAGGAATGAGTCTAATGAAAGAATCCAAAGACACAAAGCATAACAGCAATCAATATACTTATAGCCTAGGTGAAATCACAACGGAGGGATGGAAGGCAAGCTTGCTGCTCCTGTTTCACTGTTTCCTGCCTATTTTTCCATGGACTGTTTCTCCCCTGTGATCTTAGAGGCAACCAAATTTGGACTGAAACCTCTGTAATCTATAAGCAGAAGGAAGTCTATTCGCCTTTAACTTTGGGTGTTGGGTATTTTGACTCAAAAATGATTAAAGTAACAAACATAGAGTATATTTACATTGTGAAATGTTTTAATGTACTTAATTGAAAGGTGAATTATCTCACATGAGTGCCCGTGTGGAGAGAACGTGAAACATCCACTTCCTTAAACTGTCCAATATTACACTATATCACCACTAGCTGTAGTGCCCAGCTCTACTGTAGGTCTTCTCCACTCCTCCTTCCTGTGTGACTGTGACTCTGCCCCTGTGACCACTGCCACCCCAGCCCTGACAAAGCCACAGCCTGAGCCTCTGGCAACCACCACCCTGCAATCTCCTTCTAGGAGATTAACTATTTCACCTCCTCACATGAGTGAGAGAATGGAGTGTTTATCTTTCTCAAATCATTTCTGTGGTTATTATTCAAAAGAAAAACAATGAGTATCACCAAGAATGTGGAATAAAGGGGCTGTTGTTGTTGGGAAGGTAAGTATGACTTCATGGAAACAGGATGAGAACTGCTTAAAGATTAAACACAGAACTTTCCTGTGGCCCAGCATCCCTCTCCGGGGGACTTACTCACAGGAGTGGATCCAAGATTCCCTGGAGGCATCTGCACTCCCAA